GGCGACTGCCTTCGGCTCGGGTCATGATCCTGGAGTCCCGGGATCGAGTCCCGCATCGGGCTCCCTGCTCGGCAGGGGGTCTGCTTCTCCCTCTTCCCTCTCGTGCTCTCTGTCTCTCATTCTCTCTCTCTCAAATGGATAGATGAAATCTTTAGGAAAGAAAAGAAAAAAAAAATAAAATAAAACTACCATATGATTTAGAAATCTCACTTCTGGGTATTTATACGAAATAATTGCAGTCAGGATCGCAAAGAGATATTAGCACTCCCATGTTCCCTGCAGCATTATTCACAATAGCTGAGATGTGGGAACAACCTACATGTTCGTGGACAGATGAATGGTTCCAGCAGATGTGGTACATTCCCACAATGGTATACTATTTAGCCTTAAGAAAGAAGGAAATTCTGTAATAGGCGACAACATGGATAAACCTGGAGGCCGTTGTGCTGAGTGAAATGAACTGGTCACAGAAAGATAAAGACTCCATGATTCTTATATGAGGCATCTACAGTAGACAAGTTCGTAGACACAGAGAGGAATGGTGGCTCCCAGGGGCTGGGGTGGGAGAAACGGGGAGTTATTAATCAATAGGCATAAAGTTTTCAGTTAAGCAAGATGAATAAGCTCTAGAGAGCTTCTGTACAACATTGCATGGATGGTCAACAGCGCTCTGCTCTGCACTTAGAGACTTGTTGATGGTAGATCTCATGTTACGTGTTTGTACCACAATTAAAAAAAAAAAAAAGAAATCCTAAGGTGATCTGGGCCAACTCTTGATTCTAAACTGGTCGGTCTGGGGTGAGCCCCAGGCAGAGAGGGCGAGCAGGGGCCACTCCATACATTTCTGGCTGTCCTCTGTTCTTACAGTCATTGCTCCTATGCATTGAGCACCCTGAGTCCCAAACACTGAATACTCCTGGTATTGTTATTCCCATTTGAGAACTGAGGAAACGAAGAGGTTAAGTCACTTTTTCTGGGTCACCCAGCTGGTAGTCACTAGTGCCTGCATTCATTCCCAGATCCATGTGACTCCAAAGCCCATGCTCTAACTGCTATGCAAGCAGGGGCCTCTGTGGGACACAGACATGGGCGTCATGTGTCCTTCCACGTCACTGCTTTGTCCCTCAGGCTGTAGGGTCAACAGCGTCACCTTTGTCCCAAGCTTGTCCACACTGAACTGTCATCATGCAGATGCAGGAAGTGGGCCTTTTGTGGCTCGGCACACTAAGGAAGAACTTCCTGCCAGTCAGAGGAGTGTGACGGTGAGGTAGGCTGCCTGGGGAGGCCGTGGGCACCTGCCATTGTCATCGCTGGGCAACCACCTGAAGGATCTGTTGGGAGCAGAAGTCATCCTTCAACTTATTGTGTGTGCGAGTGTGTGTGGAGGTGGCCAGGGAGGGTTGGGCTTAGATACTCCTGATGTGTCCCCAGCCCCGAAACTGAGGGGCTCAGGAGACCAGTCAAAGCTCAGTAGGTGAAGATGGTTCTAGAAGATGAGCTCACAGAACTAGGGAGTTCCAGAAGGCCCTATGTCAGTCTGGAGCCTGCCCTCCCCCATCATTCTCTGAAAGCTGGGTGCCTGGGGCCCTAGCAGTATCATGGGGGTGTCTTGAGCTGAAGCCAGGTGTCGGGTCCCTGTTGCTGCTGCCACTGTCACTGCCGTGTTAGCTCTGGTGTGGACGACACCTGATCAGTGAGCCCCCTTGTCCTCTTCCTGCAGCTGTTGACCAGGGCCCTGGCTGGCCTGGCCAGAGAGGGGCATGGAAAAAGAAAGGGGGTGGTCAGAAATGGGGGGGAGTCCTGGGCTGGGAGAGCGCTGAGTTGAGAGAGAGAGAGGGGGGAGACCCTGCTGGCGGGTGTCTGGTCTCTGAATCACCAGCCCTCACTCCTTACCCCTCTCAACCTGCCATGACTCGCTCAGGATGAAATTAGTTTTAAGTCGCTTTGCTACAAAAAGTCAAAAACAGTCTCTGCAAAGCAGCGAACTTGGTGTCCTCGTCTGTAAATGGGAGATATTACTCCTACGAACCTTGAGTTGTTGAGAGGATTAGAGGAGCTCACGTTAGAAAACATCCCGCAGGGGCGCCTGGGTGGCTCAGTTGGTTGGGCGACTGCCTTCGGCTCAGGTCATGGTCCTGGAGTCCCGGGATCGAGTCCCGCATTGGGCTCCCTGCTCGGCGGGGGGTCTGCTTCTCCCTCTGCCCTCTTCCCTCTCGTGCTCTCTGTCTCTCATTCTCTCTCTCTCAGATAAATAAATAAAATCTTTAAAAAAAAAAAAAGAAAACATCCCGCAGAGGCCCAGCGCAGTGTCTGCCGGGTGTGAAGAGCTCAGTGAGGTTCCCCCCATTGCCTCCCCGCCCCCCACTTTGATGGGGCGGGTTCGTGCTCTTGGGGTCAGGACCTCAGGATGCTTCAGTGTAAGCAGCACCCACTGAACAGTCACTCCATACCCACAATTCGGCTTGGCTTTTAGGATGTGAAGATACACAAGATGGCCAGTGTTCCTTGGAAGTTCTCTTATGGAGGGAATGATTACTGTACATCACAGTCCTGTGGGACAGAGGGATGGCAGAAGCACAGGGTGCTCGGGGCGTGTTGGGGAGCTGGCAAACTCATCTCTGTGTGACTCTGGAAGTATGAGTAAGAGTTAGCCATGTAGAGGAAGGAGAGGGCTAGTGCGCCATCATGAGTGAACAATATGGCATTACTGGAACTCAAAGTGTGAGTGACGGGGAGGTCCACACGGCTGGGTCGTGAGGAGCGATGCATGCCTAGGAGCAGCGATGCACCCACCCCAGGGTGGCAGGTGGCCAGGCTTTTTGTTCAAAAACCCATGGTGGTAAATGTGTCTAGAATAGTTTGGAAAACGAGTCAGGACTGGATGCAAGGAGCCCATCAGTATGCTGGGATGGTGGTCGGAACTGAGGGAAAGACGGTGCTCTCGGAGGGAGGGCAGAATCAATCACACTTCGGGATCTACTGGCTGTGGGTGGGTGAAGGGTGTAGAGACAGAAGGAGTGAAGAATGCCATCTGTATTTCTAGTTTGGATAAATGTGTTTAAACCAAAAAAGTTACGAGTTTATTTTTTTTTTAAGATTTTATTTATTTACTTGAGAGAGAGAGCGAGGGAGATCACAGAGGGAGAAGCAGACTTCCCGCTGAGCGGAGACCCCGATGCGGGGCTCAATCCCAGGACCCTGGGATCGTGACCTGAGCTGAAGGCAGACGCTTAACTGACTGAGCCACCCAGGCACCCCAGTTATGAGTTTAAAACCAAGAATATTTTAAACCGAGAAAGGAAAGGCACAAGGAAGCCGATTTTAGTGGGAACATTAGTTCTGTTTTGGACCTGCTTAGTCTGAGGTGACACGGGATATCTGAGTGGAGAAGTCCAGGAGGCAGTGGCAGATGAGGTCTGCTGCTCTGGGGAAGACGAAATTCAACATCATCGGCCTGCAGGTGGCAGTTAACTGTGGGGCCACCCAGAGGGTATCCTGAAGAGAGAGAGGAGGGCTCAGGGTAGAGATGCCTGGAAAGCATACCAGCATTTGAGACGTAGGCAATCAGAAGAAAGAGCCCGAGAAGGAGCAGGGAACCCAGGAGAGGGGGCATCATGGAAGCCAAGAGTGGCAAGAGATTCAACAGGTGGATTGGGCAATGGCGTGAAAGGCTGCTGAGCGCCCCTGTGGGTCAGGAACTGGCAAGACCCACTGGATGGGGCAGAACAGCGTCAGGCATGTGGTGATGGTGGTGAAGCTAAATTTCACTGGGTTGAAAACAAATGGGGAGGTGAGAAAACAGTATTTTTTCCTGTAGAAGTTTCCATGAGAAGAGAGGGAGAGAGACCAGTCAGTATAGATGATGACAAGGCCTGTATGCATCCATGCATCAGGGGAATGATAAGTGGTAGGAGGAGGCGCTGAGGACCCTGGGAGAGGAGCAATGGCCCATGGAGTGAGGTCGAGAGGCGGGAAAGGGTGAGCTTGCAGGCACGATGGGCCTTGACAAGGGTCGCAGCCCCGCATCCTCACACTAGAGGGGTGAAGATGAGTAGGACGAGGCTCCTGATGCCCTCGTGAGGCAGGAGGTGAGGTCTCCTGGGAGCTCGGGGGTGGGACCGGGCAGCGGGCAGTAATGAGCATCTCGAATACTCTTTGAGGGCAATGGGAGAGAGAAAGTTGGCCAAAGACAAGCCTTCGGGCCGGAGTGAGAAGTATTTCATCATAGAAATAACAGTGAACCTATTTTTAGTACAAAGAGCTAAGTTCTCTCTGGGCCTTTCTCCTCTCATTCATTCTTTCAAACATCTTCTGAGGCAGGTGTTATTCATTTCCTCATTGGAGAGCTGAAGACAGTGATGCTCGGGAGGTGTTCAAAGTCAGAGATGTTGTGCAGGGCGGAGGTGGGCTTCAAACTCAAGGCTTACTGCAAAGCCACACCCTTAACCCACCTTGTCATCTTCCATGGCTTGAAGGTCCAGTGGGGTTGGAGGCCATGTGGTTTTTGGGACACCATTCGTGAGGTCGTGTGGCTGTTTTGTTTTTTGACTCTATGAACGTGGACAGTAAGTGTGGTGGGGTAGGGTCACGGGAGATGTGGGAAGATGTGTCAGAGAGATGAGAATGGAAGGTTGCAGAGCGGGGTGGTGGCAAGATGCACGGATGACCAGGCCATGGGAGTGGGTGGCTAAGACAGAGTGGAAGTGAAGGTCATAACCAGGTGCAAACGTCCTTCATGATACCAAGGGCTGGCCCGTGGAGCCAGTGCAAGAGGCAAACCCAAGGAGAGCGCTCCCTTGACAATGGCGGGGTAGGGACTGGCTTACACTCTGATGCCATTGCTGGGCCCTTGCCCTCCGGGAACATCTGCTCATGGCCATACCTCGTGGGGCTTTGGAGTCACGTAAACATTGGTCTTATTCCAAACTTTGCTCTTTCCTAGTTGTACAACATAGGGCTTTAGGATTCGATGATGCCTGGCAAGTAGTATGGAGCTCCAAACACGTTCGTTTTCTCCCCCAGTTCCCCTCCTCCTCTCTCAGCTGCTGGGGCAGATGTAAAGCAGGACGGAGGGGAAGCTGGCCTCAGGGAACCCTCTCCTGGATCTCAGAGCTCAGGGGCGTGGCTGATGGCTTCCTCATGGCTGCAAGGGAGCTGGTTTGCTGCGTTGGCGCCTTCTCCCCTTTTCCCAGGTACACTCATACCCCGTTTTTCTTTTTCTTCCAAGGGTAACCTTCTGTGAGTGGTGGACCAGGGCTGTTGAACTGCCTGCCATCTCAAAACCCAGCTGTGAGCCAGCGTGGCGGGGGCTGTGCCTCCGACGCCTGCATGGAAGCCAGGAGCTGGGCTCCCAGAAGGCAACTGTGCCCGCAGGGGAGCATGTTGCTGGCTTTTGCCTCTCTGCTCGGCTGCCTGCTTACCTCCAGCCAGGCCAAGGTCTACAGTCGCTGTGAGCTGGCCCGAGTGCTCCAGGATTTCGGCATGGAGGGATACCGGGGATCCACCCTGGCTGACTGTAAGAACGGCACCCCCAGACACTGCCACCCCCCACTCCTCTCCTCCCTTCCTGCCCTTCTCCCTCCCTGCTCCCCTCCCTGCTCTCACTCAGGGGAGGTGGTCTTGGAAGCTTTCTGAGCCTCAGCCCTCCCTTGTACATCAAGGGCTTTATAACCAGGCAGGTGGGCAAGATTTAGCACAAGTTACATACCTAATAGGCAGGCCACAGGCAGCCCAATCAGCATGTCCCTACCCTCCCTGCCCCTACTGCTGAAGTCAACAGCCAAAGAAACAGAATAGCTTACTTCCCTAATCCTAATGGCAGCCAAGAGGATCGGACATTCCCACTGAGGTTTAGGGTAAATTGAGCAAACCAGTAAGAGCAGACTCTTCAAGCTGCTGGTAGTTTCGGGAAGCTGTGAGGTCCAGCCACATCTGGACTCATTTCTCTCTCGTTCTAGCCCCCTTACCAGCTCTCACCTGTGTCTTCCTTGTTTTGCCTCTAAAGATCTAGCTTTTGTCCGTTTGTCCCACAAAGATTTCTTGGGCCCCGCTGCGTGCTGAGCGATGAGACAGCGGGAAGAAAGGAGGCCTGAGGGACAGTCTTGACTCTTGCTATTTGGTAGCTGTGGTGACCCCCAGTGAGTCCCTTGCCCCTCTGAGCCTTGCTGGAGTCCCTGGGGAAGTAGGTGGGAGGACAGCCCCCATGACCACCTTGGGGCAAGAGCTGAGGCTCAGAGGTGCTCGCGTGTGGTGCCCGCACGTGAGTGTCCTGGTCTGTGCTGGCTTTGGTCGCCTGACCCTCGGGCCTGCGTCTCCACCCTACGCAGGGGTCTGTCTTGCTTACTTCACAAGTGGCTTCAACACAGCCGCTGTGGACCATGAAGCCGACGGGAGCACCAACAACGGCATCTTCCAGATCAACAGCCGGAAGTGGTGCAAAAACCTCAACCCAGAGGTCCCCAACCTGTGCCAGGAGTATTGCTCCGGTAGGCTGGGCTCGAGCCGGGGGCAGCGTGGGCCGGGCCTCTGCACCCATCTTGGCTTGTTCCCCGCTGCTGTTTGTGCCCCTCACCTGGATCTCTGAGTGGGGATCCCCCACCATGCCCCTCCGGGCCCACCAAGGAGAGTGGGATGGGGCAAGAGATGAGGGTAGGTCCACCACGAATCTGATGGGAGACTGTTCTGAGAGCTGTAGGAGGGTGGGGAGGGGAGTGGTAGAGTGATATCTGTGTTTCCAGAGGGATCAAGAGACAGGGTTGGGTTTAAGATGGAGAAGGGCATGTGTGTGTGTGTGTGTGTGTGTGTGTGTGTGTGTGTGTGAGAGAGAGAGAGAGAGACAGACAGACAGACAGACTCTGGATGTCTAGCTCTGTCCGCTGTTCCCTCATCATATTTCTTTGCCTCCCACCCCAGACTTGTTGAATCCTAACCTTAAGGATACTGTTATCTGTGCCATGAAGATCGTGCAACAGCCCCAGGGTCTGGCCAGCTGGTAGGTAACCTGGGCTAGAGGACCCCCACCCCGCCGCTCCCCCAGGCTGATGTGGCCAGGACTGGTGGACAGCAGGAGGGAACTAATCTTTCCTGAGTGCTCATGTTGTCCCGGCCACCATTCCATGGCCTCACAGTCTGATCTGCAGCCAACTTTCGGCCATAGGGGTTACTGTCCCTGAAGTATTTATAGACAACACACTGAGTGTCTGGGAGGGTAAGCAATTCACGGGAGCTCTTGGAGCCAAGCCTGGCTCTTCCACCATATGCCTCTGTTAGGATGCCTGCCTACAAGTCCACAAGACCTGGGTCTGGTCAACCTTGTTTGTTTAACGGTGGCATCTTCATCGAAACTAACTTTTGTAGAAAAGCCCAAGATGTACAATAGATCAAAGAAGCGATTCCGGGCTTGAAGCATGGTGGGGGTGTATGTGGGGGGTGGTGCTCTGGAGTCACACCCTGTCAGCCTTCTCTTTTCCTGCCTCTTTCCCACAAGATGGCCTTTGGAGCGGCCATGCTCATAGGCGAGGGGGTTGGATGAGCATCCCATGGGGCACTGGACTAGATCTTTGGTTCCCAGATGGACCTCTGAGGCAGTGACCCTGCAGACTCCTCCAAAGGGGGTCTCACTGCTGAGACTCCAACCTCCCTTTCGTCTCATTTCCGAATGAGAGACCAGCAGGGGCAGGATGTGGGGAGGGTGAGATACTCCAGGTGGTTCCTGGAGCTACAGACAGACGTGACCGTCATAAGACAGGAATTTGGGAGGGAGTGAATATTGGCCCAGGAGCAGAGAGAAGGGGGAGGGGAGACGAGAGGCAGGGGCATGGTAGGGAAGCCTTTGTAGGATTCCAGGTGAGAGATCCAGGGTCTGCGCTAGGACAGTTGCTCAGCTGATGGACAGGAGGGGGGTTGGCTAGGAGGGCCTGTACAGGAGGCATGGGGACAGGTAATGTGCAGCAGCAAGGGTGAGGAGGAGGCAGAAATGACTGTGAATCTAGAGAAGGTCCGAGATGCGCCTTGACCATGACCACAGCTTTGGAGATGTGTTGGTCTGAGAACAGTTGATGCCCTAGGAACTGAGTCTGGAGTGAGGCAGGCTCAGCAGGACATAATGCACAGCTATAAGATCAGAGAGGGTGAGTGTAGGCTTGGCAGGAGTCCAAGGGCTTGAGGTCTTGGGGGCACCACCTGGGGATGGAGGAAACAGGTCCTTTTGGGTTATATCAAAGAAGAGCTCTCTTTTGTACACTGGGAGTAAATTTGTGGCAGGTATACCCCCTGAGAGGTGGCTGAGGCTAATAACAGGCAGTGGTCCCAGAAAGTAGAAAGGGTACGGTTTATTTCCTCCACCTGCACACTTTGGGAACTCACCCATGCCGGGCTCTGTGCTGGGTGCTGGGCTGCAGGGAAGCTGAGATCCGAGTCTCTGCCTTCAAGGCTCTCACAGTCTAATGGTAGAGGCAAACAAGCCAGCTGACCACACCTCATTGATGGATCTCTAGAGGTCCTCAAGGGGCACTCTTGGTCATTGGGCTCTTTGACATTGACATCATGGAATCACCAAAGCTTGGAACCCCTGAGAACTTGGGACCCCAGGACCCCAGGATCTTGCTTATCTTCAAGATGCTCATGTGATGATGGAGCAATGTAATGGTCCTGAAAAAGCCTATAAACTATAGTTACCAACAATTGAAAGACCTGGATTGGTGGTTAAGGAGAAGTGGGTGGGGCTGCAGTTCTGTTATTTACTAGCTGTGGATCTTGGGTGAGGAATTTTGCATCTGAGTCTCAGTGTTTCATTTGGAATATAGGGAACACTCTATCTGCCTAATCTACATTATAGGGCTGCCGGGGGTGGAGCAGGGTGCAGACAAATGAGTGATGGATGGGACAGTGCTATGTAGACTGTAAAGGGCTGTACGCTTGTAAGGCAGCATGACTGTCTGCTGAGGGAGCATGGTGTGGGAAGAGCATTGGACTGGGGTTCTGGACCTTTGCCACTGACTTCTGGGTGAACTTGAACAAATTACCCTGTATCTCTATTAGTGAAATTAGGAGGCTAGGTAAATGACATTTTAAGGGCCATGCTCTTCCGTTTTTGCTTCTTCTAGGGGGTTCTTTGCTAATGAATGGGGTTTACTAGTCCCTCTTTCCCTTGCTAGCCCCTTTCCTTACCGTGGTTTAGAGCCCATGCCTCCTTCCTGTTCTTCTCTGAGCAGGGACTGAAGGTGGCAGCTGACCTGGTCTCTCCTCTTCCCCATCCTCCATCCTCAGGGAGGCCTGGAGGCGTCACTGCCAGGGCAAGGACCTCAGCGACTGGGTGGATGGCTGTGACTTGTAGGATCCTCTCTGGATGGACCAGGTCACGCACAGCAGGCTGGGAGATGTGGTTTGGTTTCTGATCCAGGCTTGGGAAGACAAGCCAACCAATAAAGTATGTCTAACGTAAGTGTGGTTCTCAGCTATCACTGTGTTTCCAGGTGGCACATCGGAGTTTCTTCACCTGTCCACCTGGGCTGGGCTCCATAAAGCTTACCCCAGAAGGCTTGCCTCCATTCCTGGAGACACGGTGGGGGTCAGTGCTTCCCTTGCCCATACCTGGTAGAGTTTCCTAGACCCTTTACCTGGATCTAGGTTTGCCGGGTTTAGCAAAACAAACAATGATAACCAAAACAGGATGCCTAAGTTAAATTTGAAATTTGGATATGCAACAAATAAATTTTACTCTACATATGTCCCGAATATTGCATGGGACACACTTATATTAAAAAATGATGTGTTGTTTGGAGAGTCTGAGTGGCTTAGTTGGTTAAGTGTCTGACTTTTTTTTTTAAGATTTATTTATTTATTTAGGGGGGTGGGGAGGGACAGAGGGAGAGGGAGACAGAGAATCTCAAGCAGACTCTGTGCTGAGCAGAGGCTTGATCTCACAACCCCACAGTCATGACCTGAGCCGAAATCAAGAGTCGGATGCTTTACTGACTGAGCCACTCAGGTGCCCCCACAGATAAATTTAATTGAGCAAAGATTTTCTTGGGCACCCTCCCTGCCATCAGAGCCTGCCTCCCAGGAATGAACTGAGCTTACTGTATATCCTGCCCCTTCCTGCCCTCCCCTGAGTTCAGCTCTCCATCCCAGGTCTGCCTTATCCCTGAACAGTTACGTGCTACAAAATTATTTCTCAGAAATGAAATGAAATTCTTAGTCCTTTCTTCTAACTGATCTCATCTAGGCATGAGAAAGAAAGGATCGAGCACATTGACACCAATGTAAGAGAATTCTTATCAACTTAATCTCTAGTTGGGAGAATTTGGGGGCAGCATAAGACAGGAATGAAAAAAGTGCTGGCGATGTGGGGGGAAATATTCTGAGCAATGGAGGCAGGCTAGCATGACCCTGAGATCATAACCTGAGCTGAAATCAAGAGTTGGATGCTCAATCGACAGAGCCACCCAGGAGCTTCAAGTGTCAGACTCTTGATTTCGGCTCAGGGTTATGAGATCGAGCCCCACATTGGGCTCTGTGCTGAGCGTGGAGCCTGCTTGGGATTCTCTGTCTCCCTGTCCCTCTGTCAACCCCCTCCCCCCACTGCCACTGCTTGTGTGTGCCCTCTCTTTCAAAAAGCAAAAACAAAAACAACGATGTGTTGTGTACCTGAAACTCAAATTTAGTTAGGCATCCTATGTATATATTTTTAGGCGTTCTATATTTTATCTGGCAACCTTGTCTGGGTCTGCTGTGGTATACTCCAGGCTTGTGTGTGGGGGGGTCCTTGGGACATTTGTTTTCTGTGGTTCTGGTCACAGAGGGTGGCCACAGTGGAGAATGCTAACACACTGGCAGAAGCCAAGGGATGGAGCACCCGGAGTGGAGACACACCTTGGGCTTTGGCTAGACGCTCCCCCTGCTCTCCAGTGCCCCCTAGTGGAAGAAAATTCAAGTGCTGGTGGCCATCTCAGCCCGGTAAGGAAGTTAGTTACCCCTGGTACTGCTGACCATTGCTGGGAAGCTGGAGGATTGGGTGGAGGGTGTGGATGGCTTCCAGGCAGCACACAGCACGTCTCTGCCTTCCTCAATATGTGGGAAACTCAGAAGGAGGCAGCACTGTCTCCCATTAACCTAGAGCTCAGTGTCTCAGGTCCCTTGGGAGGGACTGTGTGTGAAGGAGGAAGGTGGGCAAGTCTCAGGATCACTGTGGATATGGTAGCAAGAGAAGCAACCGCTGTGATGACTGAGAGGCTGAACCCTGAGTTGAGATTGTAGATTCTTCTGGAAAGGACTCAGAGAACCCTGCAGTTCTCTGATTGAGGGATGGCTGGTGCTTCCCCAGGAGGAGAGATGACTGTGATGTCGACTGCCCCTCCCCACCGACCTGCCATCTCCAAATCCACTGGTCAGCAAACAGCAGAGGGGCGGCGAAGTGTCCGCAACTGGTAAGACTGCCAGTTTCCTTCTGCTGCTGGTCTGGTGTTGGGCCACTCGCATCGCCAGAGTGTAGCTGGCCCTGCCTTGTGTCCCACCCTGGCTTTTGCTTCTGCCTCCCTGTGGAGCTCTTGCCTTGTCAAGGTGATGCTAAAACGTGAGGGCTGCTCATACACGTGGATGGTGGTGAAGGAGCAGCTCCTTGCTGGGAGTTGGGCTTCTGGGGGATCAACGACAAATGGATCCATTCTCATTAAGTCATAGGGAGATACTGCTCTCTTTTTAATATGGAGGCAACACTGTGTACCTACCATGTGCCATGCATCATCTAATCTAGACCCTGGAACTATTACTATCATGGAGCTCCCCTTGTTATCCCCATTCTACAGATAAGGAAATGGAGGCTCAGAAGAGATAAATTTGCACCCAGGAGATTCCATGTGCTCTTAGGTCACTGTATTTTGCTGAGACGTGGTTGTCTTGGGCCACCTGCAGTCTGTGCTCTCCCTCACCTGGCCCGAGACCTCTGGGCCATTATCTCTGAGTGATGCATACCCTCTATTTCAACTTCACTTCAGGTTTCTGTTGCCTGCAACCAGCCAATTGCTCCACTGGGTCCCATTCACTCAGGAGTAGGTGGTCCTTGGAATCAAAGCAAGAGTTGTTAAAAGGACGTGGAGGCTGGCATGAAAATAGGGCTGGGCAGGGGCAGGCCTGGACAAGGGATCCTGGAGGCCTGGGCTGGGGGGTGGATGAGGAAAAGGTTGGAGATGGAAGAGGAGAATCTAGGGGAGAGCCCTCACCTGTGCATGAGGGTTAAATGGTCTATAGCTCTACCTGGAAGTCCCAGTTTCTAAGTGATATTCTCAGACTGAGTAGAGTAACCAGGCTACCTCCTCATGTCTCCTTGCATCCATGTCACACTCGCCCCACATTCTATTGCTCACTCTGTCCTGCCTCTTAAAAGCTTTCTAATATCTCTGGAAACTGTCCCTCCTGTCCATCCCAGATACCACTGCTTTAACTCAAGCCCCTGTCACTTCTTTCCTGGGACAATGACACCGACCTCGTGAGAGTATCCCTTGCCATCCCACCTCCTCCCTTCCGTGAGCTTTCCACCTTCTTACTCCCTTGCATCCTGGCCATATGATGGCTTTTCTCACCTTTATTATAGTCCAAGTTCCTTGGCTTGGTACGCAAGATCTTTCACAAGCCAGGCTCAGCTGACATCTACAGATTCATTTCTCAACTGTTCAGAAGCTTTTACACTGGTGGGTTTCTATCCCTGGCTGCTTCATACTTGTCACCATCCCCTGCCATTCTTCCCCATGCATGCACTCCAAGCAATCAACACGCTTGTTTTCACCACACGGCTTTCACGCCTGCCCTCGGGTCTTCCTGGAATGCCATTTCCTTAGATCATTGAGTGGCTATTCGTTTCCAGCCAGCTCTTGTCTCAATTTCACATCCTCAGATGAACTTCTCTGACTGCCATAGCTGAAGGAAGCTCCTCTCCTCTCTTGTCATGATCTTACTACCAGTGAATTACTGTCAGATTATTTCATGCACATGTGAATTTACATACATCCCATTTTCCGTCTCCTTATGGATGGTAAGCACCATGAGGGCAGGAAATGGGTCTGTTCCTTGTATTTCCAGCACTCGGAATAGTGGTTGGCACATAGTGGGTTCTCAGTGAAAGAATGAACCTATTGAATGCATGACTGATGCAGGAAAGAATGAATGGTGGGCAGTCAGCTAATGTTTGCAGAATCGGTGAATGAATGAGCCCGGATACCTTCTTTCAACAGAGCAGCGGTTCATGCAATGGTATTAAGTACCAGCTAAGTGTCAGGCCCTAGGCATCCCTCCAGAGGGACCCATTGCCCCTCCTGAGCCCTCTTGGGATGGCTTTCTCCCTTTCAGGGGGACCAACCTGGCTGCTTTTCATCCAAGTCCCACTCGCTTCCCCCTTGGCCGTTCAGCACGGTTTGGAAGGAATTGGCACAATGTTTTGTTATGTTTCATTTTTTCCCCTTATCCTGGCTGCCTGACCTGGGGAAAGTCACTCCGCCTCCCTGAGCCTCAGTGGTCCTCAGGGACAAGGGGAACTGATAAAGACCACCTCACAATATTGCGTTGATCACATAATACAGAGCATCAAGGCACCAAGTACAGGGCCTGGCACAGTCTGGGGGCTTAAGAAATGCTGGTTTCCCTAAGCTCGGGGGGCCCCCTGGGGAGGAATGGTGGTCCTGCCTGTCCTGGTGACTGGGGTGTACTTGGGATGCCTGTGCCATGTCCTCAACACAGTTTGCTAAGAAGGAGGAAGAGGAGAGGGGAGACTATGGGAAGAAGCAGCAGAAGGAGGAGGGGGATGGTTTGGACAAAGTGGCAGAGATTTCTACAGAAAGCAGGGAGAGTGAAGTGAATTATTGTCACTCTTTTTAGTCCAAGCCACCTCATTCTTGGCTAGTTTGACTCCAGGAGACTAATGGGAAATGGGCTTGTCTAACTCTTTTGTTGCTGAGTGGGGTGAATGCTCCAGGGGATGATTAGCTACCCAGGTGCTGTCATTTCTCTACCTGTAGGCCCAGGTGAGGCAGGCAGGGACTCCTGGCAGTGGAGGGACGCTCTGCTGAGCACTCTTCTTGGGCAGGTCCCTGTGCTCTGCCTGTAAGACTCATCCTTTCAGCTGGATATGGCTTTTTTTTTTTTTTTCTTTACTCCAGGCCACTGGCCTGAAGCTTCTAGAGTGGGAGGCTGGCCTGGTCAGATGGGGTCCAGCATTTAGTGGACACCTCCTTTGGGATAGCAGATGTGCCCCCACTTCCTGCCTGTGACCAACATCACAAACTGAGCACAAGCCTCTATTCTATTACTTGCCAGGGATCCTTCTTGATGCTTCGGTGGCAGCCACTGTCCATGGAGTTGGCCGGTAGGATGGCGCTTCCTCATCTCCATCCTACCATGTGTGAGGCACCACACTGGCATTTTCCATAGTTAATCTCACTACCCCCACGGCAC